ATCAGGGGACTTGAATTCTAGGGCTATTGTGGCCTAGGTGACCCTGAGTGTGTCATTTAGCCTGTCTGAGCTCCATGTTCATCTCTGAAATGAGAAGATCAGAGTAGGTCGCTAAGATCCCTTCCAAGTCTGTTTCAATTTAACAAGCATTATTAAGGTCCTGTGGGCATATAAAGATAAAAACAAAACTCCCTGCCATCAAGGAGAATACAGTCTACTGGGGGGATACAATATATACATTGAGGAGTCAGAACAAAATATATACAAAATACTATCTGACACCTGGAGCAATTAGGAAAGGCTTCTTGTAGGAGGTGGCACTTGACCTGATTCTTGAAAAGAACTGGAGGCTGGGGTAGGGGGTGGGGGTGAAGACACAGATCGTTCCAGTCATGAGGGCATAAAGATGGGTGGTTAGGTGTAGTGTCCAGGGGATGGCAAGTAGCATCATTTGACTAGAATGTAGAATTGGTGAGGGAGAATAATGTTCAACCAAATGGGAAAAAGAGGAGCCAGATGGTGGACTCTAAATGCCCAAAAAAGGAATTTCATTTGTATCCTATAGGCAGTAGGGAGCCACTGAAACTTCTTTAAAAGGGAAGTAACATGATCAGAACTGCATTTGCAATAGAAATTTAGCATCCATGTGGAGATGGGTTGGAGTGGAGAGAAACTGGGTACAGGGAGACCAGGTGGGAGCTATTGCAGTGGTCTCGGTTAGAGATGCTGAAAACCAGAATGAGAGCAGTGAGTGAGGGTGGTGGATTTAAAAGATAATGTAGAGGTAAATTCCAGACCTGGCAGCTGATTGGACAGGGTAGGGGACATTGAGGAAGAGGAAAGAGTTGAGGATGATGCCGAAGTTGGGAACCTGGATGATTAGAAGAATGGCTGTACCCTTGACAGAAAGAGGGAATTTGAGAGTTAAATTTAGAGGGAAGGATAGTTCTTTTGTGGAGATGATGAATTTGAGATGCCTATGGTACATCTATGTAGACGTGTCACAGACATAATTCAGGACAGGAGCTGAGGAGAAAGGTAAGAGTTGGGCATATTGATTTGGAAGTCATCTTTATAGGGATGATAGTTGAATCCATGGGAATTCATGATGAGGATGATGATGAGGAAACTAAGAGAGAGAGTCCATGATAAAGCCCTGGGTTACAGCCACACATAGAGTTGTGACATGGATGATGATGCCATAGGGAAGACACAGAAGGATCAGTTTTGATAGGAAATCTGGTTATAGAGCATTGTTGGGGGAAAAAACAGGTGAGAGTATCCAAGGCCGGAAATCAGCAACACCAGTGTCAAGTTCTGCAGAGAGAATGAGAAGGGTATAAAGTGAGAAAAGGCCACTAACTTGAGCAGTAAAAAGATCAGTGATTAACTTCCAGAGAGCATTCTCGTTCAGGGAACAGAATCAGAATCCACACTTCAAGGGATTCAGAAGTGAATGTGAAGGGGCAGCTAGGTGGCGCTGTGGATAGAACACTGGCCCTGGAGTCAGGAGGACCTGAGTTCAAATCCAGCCTCAGACACTTGATACTTACTAACTGTGTGACCCTGGGCAAGTCACTTAACCCCATTGCCCAGCAAAAAACAAAAACAGAAGTGAATGTGAGATGAGGAAGTCAAGTCAATGAATGTAGAGTATTTTTCTGGGATTTTGGATGTGAAAAGGAGAGATATAGTTTGAGGGAATAATAGGGTATGGTAAAGTAGTAAAGGGTTTTTTGTTTTTAAGGTGGGAGAGATCTTCATGTGTTTGTAAGCATTAGAGAAGAAGCTAATAAATAAGGAGAGATTGGAAATTAGGGAGAAAGGACAAAATGTAAGTAAAGGAAAAACCCCTGGAAGGGGATGAGATCAGAGACAAAATACTGTAGAAGGATTGGCATTGGCAAGAAGAATGGCCACCCACTTCTTAGGCTACCACTGAAGCAGAGGAGGAAAGACTAGGGGATAGTGTTAAGATTTGAAGTATTGAATTAGAGAAATGAAAGAGCTTGGGTCAAACTATCTCAATTTTTTCAATAAAACATGAGACAAGGGCCTCTACTGAGAGAAAATCAGGGAGGAGGTGGTATAGGTAGCTTGAAGTGAAGAACTAAGACTCTGGTAGAGTCCATCTGGGAACGGTAAAAGTATTGAGGCGCAACAGTTGAGACTCAATTGAGAATTACACAACCTAAATTAATTCTGGATCTAGTCAACAAAATTGGGTGACATTTAGTAGCAGTGGATTATGGGAGTAATCTAGGATGGGGATTGAAAAGTATGAGCCTTAGTAAAACAAGGAAATAAGGGATTCAAGGGCAGAGACACTATAAAATTTAAACTAGTTAACTATATAGAGATAGGATCAAGATTTTGAAGGAAAGAAAGTGAGACCAGAGCATCATTGTAGTGGTCTGGGAAAACAGAAAAGGGTGGAGTGACTGGAGGTTGCAGTGAGAATTGAGAATAGGTTTAGAAGGGCACAGGGAAAGATGGAAGATGGGACCTTATTGTCTTCTAGAAAAATTTAAGAGTTATGAATTGTGGAGATGTAACCCTTTGTGGTTGGTCAAGAGACATGACCCTCACTGCATATTACTAAGGTGAACTGAAGGGTTTCAGAGCATGGGGGTTTAAAAAGTCCAACTGGGAAAAACAAAGTCCACAAGTTTTCTCAGTTATGCCATGAAATTTTGAATATTCATTGAGCTTTTTTTTTTTTTAATTTAAAAAATCCCCAAAGAGTTTGCTAACTGTGTGTGTAGTGAATAAATGTCTCTAGACAATCTTTCCCTACATGTCCAGGGAAAAGTCATGTTCTGCAGGGAAAAATACCAGAAGCACATAAACATTTTGCTTTTTTGTTTAGTTTCTGTAGCTTTCTAGAAAAAATAAGAAGTATGTTCTAACATCCTATTTTAGATTTCAAGGAAGAATGTAAGGTATTAATGATCAATTCCACTATTTGCAAGTTAGTAGAGATAGCAGAATTGTCAGCATGTGAATGCCTATTAGAGAGATAAGAGGAAAGGAGAATATATGCACAAATTTTAAAATGTATTAAATACTACTCTTCCTTTTTTCTGTAATGTGATTTTTTAAATTATAGAAAAAAGTCTAAAGGAGAACATGATTAGCATTTTATCAGAAATTTTCTTATTACATTTGATATTGTGCATCTTACTTAAATTCCATAATAGTTCCATAAATATTGTGAGTTACAAATAGCTGCTTAGGTGAATGATTTATTCTTTTCTCCCCCACCTCAAGATTGAAAAGGCCAAACCCTTTAAGTGTGGAACATTTGGTGCAGCATCTCTACAGCAGAGATATCTAGCTACTGGAGATTTTGATGGAAACCTGAATATCTGGTAAGATTATTTAATATGTGTTTAGACAGATGAGATAAAAAATTCTTTAGTATTCGTATCATTCTGCCTCTGGAAAAGAGAATTTTAAAAAAAAAAGTTTCCTTGTTCAGTCTTAATTTGGTTTTAAGATAGATGTTATTCAAAGTCTATATTTAGTATTCATTTTCAAGTGCAGATTGAGAATGTTGGGTTCATTTTTCTTTAGTTACGGCAGATACTGTTAACAATATGGACATTTAAGAAAATGCTACAGCATTTAATCTCCTTGAATGCTAATGTTCAGAACTCTCAACTTCTGGTTATATTCTTACTTTGAGGATATTTACATGAAGATCCAAACTTATGAAACTGAAAAATTATTTTGTTTTTATTTAATGACAAAAGTAGCATTTTCTTTACAACAGGATTCATTGGTTGTGTTTCTTTAAATAAAAGTTTCCACTGCTGGTTTTCTAAATCAAATATTTATACGCATTTTCAGGAATATAACTATTGTATAAATTAAGGTAAATTTACACCATAAAAGGGGCCATAATAACTATACCAAAATCTTGTCATCTATATTTTTTATGAGAGTTGTCTTTTCATCCTCCTGGATCTGGAGCCCAAGGACCAAAAGTCTAATCAAGACTTTGAAACACACCGCCTTTATTTGTGACTAGGGACAAATCGCTTCACCTCTCTGGCTTTTGTAAAATGAGGGAATTGGATCAGGTGTTCTGTAAAGTTCATCATTCCTAGCTCTAAATCCTATGACCTTTTCATTTTTAGGAGCATCACTCATATTATTAGAGTATATGGTGATTCTCTGGACAAGAAACTTCCTCTACAGAATTATCTTGGCTAGCATCCTGACTCATTCCACTTTAGAAGAAAATCTTCTTGAGATGATTTTTTTGTAACTTAGTCTTATATCCTTTAGGAAATTGGGGCTATTCAGAATTCTTCTTTGTATTAACTGCTTTGTGGACAAATAACATCTACCAACATGCACAGGACCTAAGGTGAAATATCAGAGGAGAGAAACATTAGGAAAGGTTCCTCCAGAAAAAATAAAAGAGTATGAAAGTAATAGGAGAATAGATTGAGAAATAGAAGTGCGTATTGGCACCTCATCTATAACTTATCCATAGTCACACCTATGTGTCAGAAACAGGATTTGAATACGTCTTCCTGATTCCAAGGCTGAACCTCTATTTAGTACATATAAACCTTGTCTTGCTAAACAAATAGACAGGCAAGGTTTACAATTCATGAATAGCCTTTTTTTCCTTAAAAAAGATATATAATATTAAATATTAAGAGAAGGAAAGAATAGGAAGATTCCAATAGGAAAAACAAAAGGAGTGTGAAAGGAATTGAAGAAGAGATTGATGAATAGAACACCGGCCCTGAACTCAGGAGGACCTGAGTTCAAATCCGGCCTCAGACCCAACACTTGACACGTACTAGCTGTGGGACCTTGGGCAAGTCACTTAACCCCAATTGCCTCACTAAAAAAAAAAAAAGAGAGAGAGAGAGAGAGATTGAGCAAAGAGAGTTTGTTAATACTAGCAGTGCCAGACAGCCTTATCTCTCAAACTTCCTGTGTAGGGATCCACACTTCCACAGGCCAATTCTTGCATCTCTCTCTCTCTCTCTTTGCCAACCATTATTAAAGCAGTTTGGAACATTTGGTCTACAAAATATTATATCACAGCTAATATTCTAAATAATTTGCAATGTTTAGGCACAGTTTAGAAAAGAGATGAAATTATTTCAGTGAACAAGGCATTATCTGGAATTCACACTGAAAATAAAAGTATATACCATCTATTAAGGGAGATTTCTCAGTATAAAATAAACTGTCTGGTCCACATATTTAGATATTAGTAAAAAGTCTTTGGTTGTAATCTAAACTAATTTGAATTTACTTTTCATTAAAGTTAGTATAAGATTTGGGGGTGAGCATTGGGGTATTAAGTGGAGAAACATAAGATGATAAGGTGAAATGTAGAACATTTTAAAACTAATATATTTCATAGAAAACTTTAGTAACAAAACCTTTATTTTAATACAAATTTGAGCATTGTGTTTATTTTGTTACCATATTTTAGTGGAAGAGTGAGTATGCTGTGTTTACAACTGTTTTCTGTTACATAGGAATTTGGAAGCTCCACTGATGCCAGTGTATTCTGTAAAAGGCCATAATGAAATCATAAATACTATAGATGGTGTAGGTGGCTTAGGAATTGGGGAAGGAGCACCAGAAATTGTAACTGGAAGCCGAGATGGTGAGTCAGAATACTCTTATTTTTTCCAGGAAAAATTCCATCCATCTTTGTGGACACTGAAGTAGAAAAAAGTCTTTTTGAACCGCTAATTTTAACTATATTCATTCCTTCTTTTGAGTCTGCACATGTACAGAGTTTTATGATAGTAGTATTTCACATACCTATAGCACTCTGTCATTTACAATTTTATTTGATACTTAAACAATCTTGTGAAGTGGGCAAGCCAAGTGATATTCTTCACATTTAACAAATGGGGAAATTGAAGGTGAGAGGAGTGATTTGTCTGTGACTTACCTGGGTTTCTACAGCTGGTATGTGACAGAACTGAGACTATAACCCAGGGACTCTTAGACCTCATCTAGTCCCCTCTTCATTATGCCATGCTTCTGCTTGTGGGCAAGTTAGAGCTTAAAACTAAGTCATCTCATGTTAGTTTGTTAATAAAACTAAGTGATATTAGATAAAATTAGTATCTTAGTGTATGGCATGACACTTGTTGTTAGCTTTGTACTGGGCCAGATCATTGAAATCTGTTTTCCTGTGAATCTTGTAGACTTTTAAAATCTAGCAACTGCCAATATAATGTGAATGACAACTCTCTTTTTCTCCTTTTTAAAAAATAGATTTAGTACAAGTAAAAATTGCCATATTGATGCTGTTAAAAAGCAAAAGATTCTGTTTACATCCACTAACAAAAAGAGATTGTATCCCAGTTGTCTTCAGTGAGAGTGCCCCTGCTCTTTCCCAGGCCAGACTTCTTTTTGACTTCATGGAGAAGGGGAAGGGAAATTCAGGCACTTAAGCATGCCGGGGTGGGGAGGAGAAAGAAGTTCATTGAAGGCAAACATATTCGGTGGCTTCCAATGACTGGGGAAGGTGAAAAAAAGAAGAGAAAATTTTTTCAATAGGGGCTCAGAAGCAGTTTTTTTATGGCTCTTATTTTATAATAACAAGAAATACATACATTTGTAAATTTTGTATACATGTTTACTTAAATTTTCAAAAATTTATTATGATTTATTTTGAATGTGTTTTTTATATATTTCTATTCTTGTTGTCTTCCCTGATAGAAATTCCTTGATGGCAATGACTTTCCTTTGTGCTTTTGTATCCTCAGTTACCTCGCACAGTGCCTGGCACATAGTAGGCACTTAATGAATGTTTGTTAATTGATTGATTTTATAAAATTCTCCCTCCTGCTGACCACCTTGTATTTATTAAGGCAGCCCTGTATCAGTACACACATTCTCCTCTCTCTGGGTGTGATATAGGAATAGGAGATAAATCCAGTTAATTAACTTGAATAATTATGTGTTCAAGTAAAAGACAGAAAAAGAAATTCAATCATTTAGCATTCATTTAGTAAGTATTTATTCAATTTATTCAATAGTATACTATGCACTACATTAGGTTTTCTGCCCTCAAGGATTTTGTCATCCAAAAATTGGTTAGAGAAGGATTACCTTTAATTTTATTCTGCTCTTTTTCCTCATTACTAAAAGAAAATGAAAGTTGATTTTGAAAGAAATGATATCTTTGAATCCTACATAAGTTACAACAGTCATAGAAGCTTATAGTAGGCCTTTATTAAATATTTGTTGGTTGATTGATTACATTGTTTATTGTACCTATATAAATCAGATAACGTTAATGTAAAGGGAGAAAGAATATAATGAAAAGTAACGAGAGCATTTTTAATAGATTAGCGCCAAACTAGAACAAAGAAAGCAATCTATGATCTGAAGTAAGTAACAAATATGCTTTTTTTGTGAGTGAAACCTAGATTATGGATTATTTTAGAATGGCTTTTTAAAATTCATTAATCTGAAAAACCAGTCAGGTGATATTGATGTTACTTCTGTGATCGATAAGTACGTTATTACTTAGGATTATAGAATGACAGATTTAGGGCTGGAAAGGACCTTAGAGGTCATCTAATCTAATCCCCTTATTTTTCACATATGAGTAAACCGAGGTACAGAGAGAATATGTGATTTGCTCAAAGTCCTACAAGTTACTTCCTAGGTCCTCTGACTCCATTTCCAATGCCCTTTCCATGATACTATTTCCCAGTTGTTACAGGTCAGAAAATATGTGAATTTTCTGTGGTATCATGGTACCTAAAACACTACTTATAGACACTTTAGCCTCTCAGTAATTGGTTTTAGGAGTATGATACAAGAAAACTAAAAGGAAACCAATTGATAACCATTCACTTTACTAATCCCTTTTTATTCCTGATAGGAACCGTAAAGGTATGGGACCCCAGGCAAAAAGATATTCCTGTTGCTAATATGGAACCTGTACAAGGAGAAAGCAAGAGAGACTGTTGGACTGTTGCATTTGGTAAATTATTAATGAACATTTGCATTTTTAGGTATCAGATTACAAAATATGAGAGCCCTTGAAGAAATTTTAAGGATTATATATATGTAGCCTTCCTTTCAGGATTATCTGATTTATACAGAATTTTTAAAAAAGAGAATATTTGCCTAGACCTAGGGACCATAAAGCACTGAATTCCATCAGCAGGGTTAAGAAATATCTCTGAGTGACACTAGTCACCCAAGCAAATAGGTTTGTGAAAGAAAATAGAAACCAGTAGAAGAGGACAGGAAAAGAGAAGGAAGAGATACAAAGAATAGGGAGTAGCAAAGTGCCACTGATTTATTGCTTCAAATATGATCAGTAGCACTTGTGGCAGTTTGCTTTCCCCATTTGATATATACTTAAATTAAAAGTACTAATATTGTTTTCTGAAGTTGTATTATAATAGTACCTTCAAATGTGTTCTTGTAATTGCTTAAACTATACTATTAATAACTGTAATGATGTATCATTGTCAAAACCAATGGCATATTAATAACAATTCTAGTAGTCATTGTTGATTTTATTTGATAAAGTGATGAGTTAATCTTTGGAATGTTCTCTTCTGTCTGTTAGTATAGATGTCAGAAGTGGAGAACTGTCGTGTGTCATATTATTGGTATAGGGAATTCCTGATAAGAAAACTCCCTCTACCAAAGTAGATCAGCACTTTCTCCCAAGTCATTGGCATAGACAGTTGCATGGGTCACTGAAAAGTTAGGTGAGTTGTCCACTGTCTTAGCCACCATGTTTCAGAGGACTTGAGCCAAAGTCTTGGGACCTCAAATCCACCTCCCCATCCAGCTGCCTTTCTACGTACAGCCATAGCAGTTATAAAAATATCATATTATTAGATAGTATATTATTACAAATGGTAATCATTGAAATGCTAGCATCCTTTACAATGCATAGATTATATCATGACGAATGACATTGTTGTATTACTAATCATTATGATGGTGACAGTAAGAAGTACTCCTGCTGGCTCTTTGTTATCTGCTATTCTTAAGTTGGTGGACCATTTGAAATCTATGCTTCTTGTACCAGTTGTACACTAAGACTAGAGGAGAGTCTTCCTAAGGTAGATTTTTCTTCTTTAAGTCTCTTATTTTTTTCTCAATTACATGTAAAAAACTTTTAACATTCATTTTCTTAAATTTTGAGTTCCAAATCCTTTTTCACCCCTCCCTGCTCCTTGAGAAGGCAAGCAATTTGATATAGATTATATATGTGAAATCTTGCAAAACATATTTACATGTTAGCCATATTGCAAAAGAAAACACAGACCAAAAAAAACCAAGAAAAATAAAGTAAAAATATTCTTCAATCTACATTCATACTTCATCAGTTCTTTCTCTAGAGGTGGATAGCAATTTTCATCGTATCTTCTTTGAGAACTGCCTTGAATCGTTGTATTGAGTAGAATAGCTACGTCATTCACAGTTGCTCAGCATACAATATTGCTGTTACTGTGTACAATGTTATCTTGGTTCTGCTCCATTCACTTTGCATCAGTTTAGTCTTCCCAGGTTTTTCTGAAACCATCTTGGTTGTCATTTCATATAACACGATAGTATTCCATTGTAATCATATACCAGAACTTGTTTAGACTTTCCTTAATTGATGAGCATCTCCTAAATGTCCAATTATTTTTGTCCATATAGATCCTTTTCCTTTTTCTTTGATTTCTTTGGGTTGTAGAACTAGTAGGGATATTGCAGTTTTATAGTCTTCTGGGCATAGTTCCAAATTGCTCCAGATCAGTTCACAACTGCACCAAAAATACGTTAGTGTTCCAGTTTTTCCACGTCCCCTCCAACATTTGTCATTTTCATTTTCTGTCATATTAGCCAATCTGATAGGTGTGAGGTGGCACACCAGAGTTGATTTAATTAGCATTTATTGAATCAGGAATGATTTAGAGCATTTTTTTGTATGACTATAGTTAGCTTTAATTTCTTCTTCTGAAAACGGCCTGCTCATATCCTTAGACCATTTATCAATTGGGGAGTGATTCATATTCTTATAAACATGACTCAGTTCTTTATATATTTGAGAAATGAAACTGTATCAAAGAAACTTGCTATAAAAATTTTCCCCAGTTTGCTGCTTTCCTTCTAATCTTGGCTGCATTGGTTTTGTTTGTGCAAAACCTTTTTAATTTAATGTAATCAAAATTATCCATTTTATCTCCTGTAATTCTCTCTTTTTCTTGTTTGGTACTAAATTCTTTCCTTCTCCATAGATCTGACAGGTAAAATTTTCCATGCTCCCCTAATTTGCTTATGATACTACCCTTTATGTATAAATCACGTACCCATTTTGACCTTATCTTGGTATATAATGTGAGGTGCTGGTCCATACCTAATTTCTGCCAAACTGCTTTCTAGTTTTCCTTGCAGTTTTTGTCAAATAATTAATTCTTGTTCCAAAAGCTTGGCTGTTCGGCTTTATCAAATACGAGGTTACTATGGTCATTTACTGTTATGTGTAATATACCTAATCTATTCTACTGATCCACTCCTCTATTTCTTAACCAGTACCTGATTGTTTACTGTGTAATAAGTTTGAGATCTGTTACTGCTAGGGTACCTTCCCCCATTGCTAGCAGGCACTGACCCAAGCTCCAGGTTTTATGTGCTGCTGTTTTCAGAACTAGTTCTGGACGGGGGGTCTTTAAGTTTTCGGTGTTTCCAAGGTGTTGTGATCCAAGGAGAGGTGGGGTCACTGCTCTCCTGCCTTGTGCTCTGGTCTTTACTCAGGAAGGGACTTTGTTCTTCTGCAGCCACGACTGCAAGTGCTCCTTTTGGCACAAGAACTATGACCAGAACCCCTGCTATCCTGCAGCCACAAGCACTAGTCCTCCTTTCTGAAACCTGGGCCCCTACCCCTTTGTGAACAACCATGAGGACTCTTTACCCTGGAACTGTGACCAGGAACCATCGCTCATTTTGCCCTGGAACTGTGACTCAGGCTTTTGCTTTCTGATGGTTGCATGCACTAGTGCTCCTCTCCCTTGGAACTGAGACCAGGGCCTGGACCCCTGCTCCCTTGCAGTCAGTCCTTTTTGCCCTTGAACTGTGACCTATAACTGCATCTGGGCAATGCAACAGGTTCCCAAACCCAGCACCAGGAAAAAATCCCCTGTGATCTCTTTCTGACCAGTTGCCTGACTCCCTTACCATTTGTGGGCTGAGAGTTCCTGGACCTGGTGCTGGTGCTGTTTTAGTCACCTTCAAGGCTTGTTACTGGCTTTGCCATGGAATGGACCATTCTGCACTCCAGGTCCCGATCACCACCCCAGTGTGACAGACCTTTCCTGTCAACCTCCTAAGTTGTCTTGGGCTGCAAACTTGTTTCACTTCAACCTTCTGTTGACTCTGCTGCTCCAGAATTAGATTGGCAGTGTTATTTTAAAGTTGTTTGGATTGGAATTTGGGAGGGTTCAGGTGAGTTCCTGCCTCTACTCTGTCATCTTGGCTCTGCCTCCAGTTTGCTTTTCTATTTCTGTATTCCTCATTGCCTAACATAACACTCTGTAGACAGAAGGTATTCCTTAAGTAGATGTTGAATGAAGGAATGAACTGTTTAGTTACTGTTTCTTTTAGCTGGATATTATTTAATAGAAGTAAAAAAATTTTAAGATATTTAAAAAATATATCATGCAGAAGTTACTGATCAGGTCAACACTACTATTCTAGGAAAAGACATAGCACTCAATTGTCCTGTGGCTCTGATCACCGTCCTTCTAACTTCCCTCTCTTACTGCACCACTCCCTTATACATGTTGTCTTCTCTTATTAAAATGTGAGTTCCTTAACTGTCTTTCCATTTTATTGTAACCCCAGCACTTAGCACCACCTGGCACATAGTAAGTGCTCAGTAAGTGTTTTTTAATTCATTCAATTACATGTAGTATTTGTATTATGGGGGGAATTTTTTAGAACTTGAAAAAAATAGGGGCAGCTAGGTGGTACAGTGAATAGAGCACTGGCCCTGGAGTCAGGAGGACCTGAGTTCAAATCTGATCTCAGACTAGACACTTGACATTTACTAGCTCTGTGACCCTGGGCAAGTCACTTAACCCCAATTGCCTTGCCAAAAAAAAAAAAAGCAACAAAAAAAACTTGAAGAGAATAATAACGCTTTTAAGGCATCTTTAGATTTATAAAGTTTTTTACAAACATTCTTTTTTTTATCCTTACAACAACTCTGGGATATAAATACTGTGGGTGTTGTTTTCCTCATTCACAGAAGAGGAAGCCTAAGGCTCAGTAAAGCTCTTTGGTTTTCTCCATGTTTACATAGTTTGAAACTTTTCCAGTCTTCTTATACCTCACTCTCCACCATGTTCCCTTGTAGTCTTCATTCCAGTGACACTGGCCTCCTGATTATTTCACAAACAAGACACTTCATCTCTTGGCTCCAGGCCTTCTCTCTGTCTGTCCCCCTTACTTGGAATGCTCTCCCCCCTCCACTCCAGCTACTAGTACTTTAAGTCCCAACTAAAATCCCATCTTCTACAGGAAACCTTTCCTAACTCTCTTAATTCTAGTGTCTTGGCTCTGTTAATTATTTCCTATTTATCCTATATATAGTTTGCTTACACATATTCATTTGCTTCTTTTCTCCCTCATTGGATTGTGAGCAGAGACTGTCTTTTGCCACTTTTTGTATCTCCAGGACTTAGTAGGTGCTTAATAAATGTTTATTGATTGATTAAGTAATAGTTTATAAGGAGCAGGGGAAGCATTTCTATCTGGGTGCCAGATCAAACACTTTTCTACCATGCTGATTCTTGTGGATGTTAAGTCATCTCAAAAATGAACTTTCTGGGGTGAAGCTAAGATGGCTGAGTAGAAGTGGCAACCTAGCTAAACTCTCCCAACATGCTTCAAATCAAATTCTGGAGAGGCACACCTAACAAAAGGTTGGGTGAGACATTTTTCTAGCACAGGACAACTTAGGAGGGTAGTAGG